CAAAGAGAGACAATTCTACATGAATTTGATCCAGCCAAGTATAAAAATAAAGCACTAACTGATGAAGAAAAGTACTGCCTTCTCAAAAATAAGTGGTTCAAACATGAACATAATTACCCCAAAACAAAGTTCGGTGAAAAGCAATTACGCTATTACATGAAGTGGGAGGAGAAATATCCTTGGCTAAGATATCCTGTTTCAGAAGATTCCACCTATTGTTCCATTTGTATGTCGTTTAGTAAAAAACAAACAAACACAATCTTCATAAATGACGGATTTCGAGACTGGAAAAATGCCATTGGAGAGAAGCGGGGCATCATTTCTAACCACAGTTGTAGTCCAGCACACCTACATGCCTCGGAGCTGGCTGAGAATTTTCTGTCAGTAGCCCAAGGGCAACAGAAAAGCATTAATTCTGTTCTGAGTGATGCATATGCAGAGAAGGTTGGAAGGAATCGCAAAGCTCTACTTTCCATTATTGATGTTGTCATTAATCTGTCAAAGAGGAACATAGCACTGCGTGGTAACTGGACAGGAGAAAGTGAAGATGGCAACTTTAATCATTTCCTCACCTGGAAGTCTGCATTTGATCCCACACTGAAACATCACCTTGAGACAGCAGCCAAAAATGCCAAATACATTTGTCCAGCGATTCAGAATGAATTAATTGCATGTTGTGAATCTGAGATTCGGGAGGACATTGTCAAAGAAATTAAAAAAGCCAGGTTTTTCACAGTCCTTGCAGATGAATCAATGGATGTGAGCGGGATAGAACAGCTGTCTATCTGCATTGGCTACATTAACCATGTTAATGGAGCCGAAATATGTGAGGAGTTCTTGGGTTTCTGTCCTCTTGCCAAACAAGATGCTGCTTCAATTACAGAAGCAATTCTCTCTCAGTTGGAGAAGTGGGGTCTCGAGATTGACTATCTCAGAGGACAGGGTTATGATGGCGCCAGCGCAATGAGTGGGCATGTGAGTGGAGTACAGCAACGCATGAAAGAGCTTCAACCCCGGGCCCTTTTCACACATTGTCGAAGCCATGCACTCAATCTTGTGGTAGTCCATGGATGTTCTGACAACCCCCTTGTTAGAAACACCATGGCTACCATTGAGAATATAGCAGTGTTTTTCTCAGCATCTGCTGTCAGAAAACACATGTTACAAGAAGAACCAACAGGAAGCATGGAAACACACGCAAGTGTCAAAAGGAAAACAGGAGGTATACCACTCATGTCGGACACACGCTGGGGCTCCAGAGGGAAGACGGTGGGTGCTTTCCTGGATCACTTCAAATCAGCCCACTCTGCACTCACAGATTTGGAATCAAGAACATCATCAAACGCAAACAAGGCTAACAACCTACGACACAGTATGGAGTCCTTTGACACAATTGTCACGGCTGTCACAACTCACAAAATTCTAGGCTACATCCAGCCGTTGACTAAAGGGTTACAGTTACCTAATATTGACCTTATAACCGCATACACAGAGGCCAGAGAGGTGGCTCAGGTAATTTCTACTCTAAGGAATGAGGAAGGATTCTGTGATATTTATGCACAGTCAATAGAACTGGCCAGCACCATAGATGTGGTTCCATCAAAAAAGCGAGTTACCAATAGGCAGCAAAACAGAGCGAACACACCCTCACAGTCAATCGAAGAACACTACAGACTCAATCTGTTCTATCCTTTTATTGACCATGTGACAAGCCAACTGAACACCAGGTTTGTGGAAAACTCTGAGCCAGCCATGCTTGCTACATACCTGATTCCTTCAGCTTTGTCCAGACTCACAAAAGACAAGCAAGAAATGATGGTGTCATGGTACAGAGAAGACCTACCTCAGCCAGACTCCATTGACCAGGAGATTCACAGATGGAAGGTAAAGAACCAACCTCCAACACTCCTGGTATTGACGGCAAAAGACACATTGAATATTATAAATGTTCAATACTACCCCAACATCCACTGTATCCTCTCCATCTACCTCACACTTCCAGTGACCACCTGTTCATGTGAGAGGTCATTCTCTGCCTTGAGGCGGCTGAAGACCTGGCTGCGATCCAGCATTGGTAATGACAGGCTATCAGGACTTGCAATGATGCATGTGCATAGGAACAGAGCACTGGATCCTGAAAAAGTCCTCAAACGCTGGGATGCCTCTGGACACAGGCGTATAGTTTTGGCATTTGATAGAAAATGAGATGACATGATAATGGTTAAAAATGTGGCACTTCAAGAAGACTTAATTAAACCCAAAACATTGTCCTCTCTTCAAATGATGCCACTGCCCTCACCATGAGAAAATGAACGCGCAAAACACAAAAACATAAAATATTGATGTAAATAGTTTCTTAAATAATTTTGTTTACTTGAACAATTGAATTAAACATTGGAAAATGAATGTTGACAATGTTTTGTGATCATTTTAGCCTCTTCTGCATGTCCAGATCATTAATAGTAACAATCAACTGATTCTTATGCATTACACTTTCAAAAATAATTTATATTGCAGCCCACTGACTTGGTTTGAAATCAATATATTATCCAATTTTGGACCCCCCACAGGACTTAAAAAGCACCTAACTAGATCATGAAAATCCCAAAAATCTCGGGGGAATAACCCCCCCGAACACCCCCAGAAGGTTTGGACCTCGGTATTTAGGAAATCCTGGATACGGGTGTGGCCATGACATGGTATATCGTTCAGCCCTAGCTTCTAACCAGGGGTGCAAAAAGCAGTAAAGTGAAGAGTAATGTACACAATCTACAGAATAAAATATAGAATGAATTGAATGATGAATAAACAGTGAGGAGGGGTATGAATCATGGTATGAATACACTAGATAATACACAGCAGCCTATGAGCAGTATGAACAGTGTGTATGAATATGCTAAGATATATAAAGTATGAAAACGGTAAGCAGTGCAAGTATAAAATATATTGTAGTGCCGAGAGATAGGGAGTCGGAGGCGGTGCAATGAAGGTGCAAAAGGGTACTTTATTTAAGAGCTGTTGTCCGGTTGCAGTCCGGGAAGAAGAGAGTGAAGAGAGGAGGGCACACAACATAGAAAACACATAACATGTCCGTGTGGGAACAATACCCCCAACTGTAGTTCCATGTATGAATTATGTACCCAGTGTATAAATAGGTGGTCACCACAATATAGATATTAATTTCATGATAAACATTGTGGAACAATGATGAAAAATGTGAATGGAAGTGGCGACGTAAAACTGACACAAAACAACAACAAACTTTTGCCGAGCCAATTGGAGAGTTTCATCAGCAGCACGGGGTAAAAACCACCAATGAGTGCTCAGCTCGAGATACCAGCGAGTCGTTTCCCATCAAGCATTTAGCTTCCGCAGCCCGTGGAGAGAAACTGCGCCGCCTCGCCGCGCCTCGCCTCGCTCTCAAGTCTGCGGGCATCTTTGTCCCGCGAGATTTCAACGTCTCACGTAGGCGAGCCTCCAGAGCAAGTCGGACAAAATGACTAACCATCATGCAACGCACTAGCAAGACGTTGATCGCAATTGCGCAGGTCTGCGCAGGTCTCCCTTGTCTCAAACAAGCCTAATAACAAACACAAAACAAAGGGGAGAAGAAGGAGGGAGAACTGCAAATCCTCACACTTTACTTACTAATTTACTCACGGTAAAAAAATGCACTACCTATTCCATTGGCATGAAGGTGGAATCTACACTGCACAAACATATAAATGCAACACTTTTGTTTTTGCTCCTATTTTTCATGAGATGAACTCAAAGATCTAAAACATTTTCTATATACACAAAATAACCATTTCTCTCAAATATTGTTCACAAATCTGAACAAATCTGTGATAGTGAGCACTTCTCCTTTGCCGAGATAATCCATCCCTCCTCACAGGTGTGGCATATCAAGATGCTGATTAGACAGCATGATTATTGCACAGGTGTGCCTTAGGCTGGCCACAATAAAAGGCCACTCTGAAACGTGCAGAGTGGATGGGCCCAGGCCCACCCACAGGCTGCTCCAGAGCCACTATTTCAAGCATGCTACGTCATCGAGTGCGGCCGAAGGACTGTTCCAATGTCCAGTATACTTGGAATTCTACCGAGCCTGGCATACTTCGTAGCGAGAAATGTTGAGGCTGCATATGTGTAGACTCCGCGGTCTTAAATCCCCACAATGCTTTGCGCACGGACCAATTTCCCCAAATCTGTGGCAGAAAATGTAAGGCGGGGCCTCTCATATGACGCACACTTGCTCGCCTGTTCCACTCTTCGTTTTCCGAATACCAGGAAGTATTCTTGCCTCGCTTCTGAAGCAAATGACTCGGAAGACATGTGCTACCAAGCAAGTGTACTCGACATTGAGAAACACCCACTGTCTGTGACCAATTCATGTTATGTCCCTGGTCTAGAGGAACCTAGACATACCATGAAATGCACACTCGATACTCAGTCAGTGACATCGAAAATCTAATGTTTTAATTTCATCCGATGTGAGATAAATGGCATCATAATAAACAAAAACTTCTGAACAAAAAGAACCCTAAACTAACCTAACCAAATCCAAACAAAAGACAAGCTTCTTAGCTATCACCTACCATCAAAACATGAGAAAGCGGGGACCCATATTAAAATAAAATGGGCTTTTCACTCCTACTACAGCTGGCTTCTTTTAGCTCAACAATTCAAAAATGTTCACAGATTACTTATTACAGTAATTTCCTTAAATCTAATTTAAACTAATGGTGCCAAATAGGCCTTTACCAAAACGTCCTCCCATCATTTCAGCGCATTTGTTTACATTGAATCCCATGGCAGTGAAAAGGCGAGTAAAGCGGGGGAATGTATTCCAGAGACCATTGATACCTATACATTGATACCTATACATTTACAAACCTATAACAGACTACAGAGCAACATTTTTACAGATAAAACTAACAATAAAATATGATAAAGATAGGTAATGACAATCATAATAATGATCTCTCAAACACTTGAAATATTGTAGAATTATTTATTTATTTTGATTAAATGTGGTCAGTTTAAACTACTTAGTGATAGTTAATACAATTCAAAGGAGGTATTACATGCAGAAAGTCTGACACAAACTTGACAAGTCACTCTTCAACAAAGCAACACTGGAACACATTTCTAGAATATGAAGACATTTTTGAATATAAAGAAAAATCATTAAAAGTTAAGAGATAATCAATCCAGAGAATATGCTGATCAAATTTGCTTGGAACTTGGGCTATGTTGTGATTTTTAAAAGGGTATTTGCAATTTGCAATGGTATTTTTTCAAAAAGATATAATTATATTCTGTCGACTTACTGGCATAAAGCAAACAGGCTCATAAAGGATCCCTCTGTATCTCGATTATTAAAGAGGCCCAATACGTTTTTATTCTGATTTAAAACTTAAAAAACACTTAACTTGAATATGCTATATAAATCACATGCATACAAATATAACAGGTAGTAGCTTCTTTCCAGTATATACTTAAAAACTGAATATTAATGTATTCCCTTTCTCTCCGCTAATATTAAGCAAAATGTAGCAGACAGCTAAGGGTCTCACATTATGATCATTATAAAGCCACACTATTTTCCATCAGCGCTGGATCCATGTATGTGTATGGGATATCCAGACCAATGTTTCTGTCTATGATGTCTGCACTTAACACTTCAAGCTCTTCTTGAAAATCCTTTATCAGCTGACAGGGAATCTCCTCACTGAAATGCTCCTCTGGGAACTGGCCGAGAGGGACCTGATGAGATCAATGATACATTCAAAAATAAAAGTTCAAAAGTATTTCAAAACAGATAATTGACAATATAGTGTGCAGTTGTTGTAATCACAAGTTTTTTCAGGGCTCAAAGAGGGTATTCAGAAAACCAAACAGATCATGAATTTTAGCCATGCCTCATACCCCTCTATTCCAGCCCTGTTACAAAAGTGCTGATTCTGGGTCTGTAGCTTCAAATGTAACCCGCTCCTTTGGAGCGTGGCCAGCAGTGAGCTGTGTGAAGAAAAGAGTGTCTACTCAGCAGAAACTCAGCTCAATGCTGCCGTGATTAAACGCCATTTAATGTTCCAAACCACATCAAGGATTATTTCTGAAACAGTATGGAGCTCAAATGCTTTTTCTCTTGCGGGTTTACCACAAGGTGAGTACCTTTTACATCCGGCTTCTTCACACATATTCTCTCCAGTACAGCGTTAGCTCTGAGTGTTAGCGATGCTTGCTAATGTAAACACTGACCATATTACTTCCAAAACACGTCGCTCATTGTTTCTGATACAGCAACATTTCTAATAGGGGACGATAGGGCCTTGGGCGGAACGTTGCCAGAAGTTCAATGTAAAGCCGGCCCACATTTTACTAATGTCGTCATGACCGAACCAAATCTGGATCAGCTCCGTTGTACCCCCGTTTTTAGAGATGTGGGTAAGGAGGAAAAGAGAGAGGGTTGTATTTTCGGACACTTCATGAGTCTCCTTACAAACAGGGGACACATTTGTTTATAAAAGTAATCAAAAAGTTCATTTTGCATAATAGGTGACCTTTAATGATGTTTTTATTATGTGTGTACTTGAATTTGAGTAACAACTTTTTTATTGAAATATTGGGTACTTACAAAGTCAAACGGAGGCTTGCTGAGTAGCCACAAGGCGGCCATTCCCTGAGCTGATGTACCGATGTCAGGCAGTGTGTTCAGCATCGTGGCCTCGCTTGTTGTCCCCTTTGTGGTTGGTGGGGCAAGTTGCAGGGAGAAGGGACTGTTGGGCATCCAGCCACCATAGTCAAACTGTGATGAAATGAATAATTGATTAATACTTTTTGAAGCCAGGCCATGTCATTATTTTGATAACAGTCCACTACTTTGACACACTAATGTTCAACAATTGAATGTATTGTCATAAATGTGGATACAAACAGAGAGATGAATGGACCCAAGATGATTCATACTAATGACATTGGAGATCATCTGACTTTTTCTTAAACACCACCATAAGGTTTAACGTTCTTAGTTTCAAGAGAAATACCTCAATAACTTTCTGCTACATTGCCAATACATTTTTCTTTAGACATTCAAGTTGAGCTCAGGATAAACAGTGATGAATGTGGTAGCGCAAACATCAGATTATCGTTTTTATTTCTCCAGTAGTTTAGTTTCAGGCTATATAACTGAAAAACTAAGCACTTCCTAAACCTCAGCTATACTTTGCAATAAACCAAAGTGTTCATGTTTTTATGTGATAAACACAAATTGTGATGTGTGTAAATATCATCCTTGTCTCAACCACACCAAGGTGGCGATTTTTTGGCATGCTAGCGATTTCTACAATAGCAACTTTAAATGAACATCCAAAGTATTAAAAGATCTCACCTGGCCATCGTTCACAGCTGAGTGCTGTGCTGAGCAAGTGAAGACCACCATCGTGACAAACTTCACCAACTCAGTCACAGAGCTTAAGCACTGTGGAATTCCTGAAAATTAAAGGCAATAGGCGTTACTGAAAGAAGTCAAAATGGGTACATGTTACTTTCCTAAATAATGGAAATGTATCCCTATTGAATGTTTCTGTAAAACCTACCTGTGATTTCTTGGGAAAGGAATCCATGTTCCAAAATGTCAGAAAACCACTTCTGTAGTTCTAAGTCGTGCTGGACCTGCTCATCACTCTTGTAGTAGAAGCTGAGCACTCCCTCCACAAACCTGTAATACAGAATCTTAAGTTTTTATAAACTACAACACTTATCTTAATAATGGTTACACCACTTTACAATGCAACCCTTTCTGAGGCATTTAGTTATTGCTCTTTCTACAAGTTTACATCAATACTTTGAAATCATTCTGGTTCATATCACAAAGCAAATGAAAAGGGCAAAACAGTTTCATCCCGGAGATGCTCCCTTCTGTGGAAACATAGGAAATAAGCATGAAATAAATTGACACATAAGAGAGAATATGCAATAAACTTTGTTAACAAGAGGTTTGGGGGTTTGTTGAGGTTTGATTATTGTTTTGCTTATTCAAATGTAAACAATTGTTTCTGCTAACTTTTTGAGTTATTTTCAATGTGTGAAAGAAGCTTGTTTATTGTGCTTATTGCCACATAGATCTTCCAAACATTATTTGGTAAACATTTGCCTAAACTTGGCTCAGTAACTTGTGTGTTTTCTTTAATATGTAAAACTCATCTCTGCTTGTTCACGTGGGAACTGGAATGACTTGCTGGCATTAGTTACTTGTGACAGGGGAATTAATTAAACTAAACCAGGAACCTCACATTCTATCTAGATGTAGATTTATGTTTTTCTCAAAAAATGTTGTTGCTCATCTAAAGTACAATCACTTGGCAAAACATTTTAAAAATAGTTAGATTGTTAAACAAATTACACTGTTTTGTATTATCACATTGCCAGTGCCAGAGGTACCTCTGAATGATATCCCAAAGCTTGAGTCCGTCATCCATGTAGTAGTAGTTTGGCACATCCTCCATCCCACGCTCAGCAATGTCGTCCGGCATGCAGAGAGACTTGTAGGTGATTGAGGACATGGATCTCTGCAGGATTGTGAACAGAGCCTCACCGCCAGAAGCGGCATACTATAGAGAACAGTCAAATATGTGATGAATAAAGTTAGAGGCAAACACTATACATGACATGAAAACAGAGTAGGTAATGGTTTTCTGATCATATTGGTCCTTTCGTACCTTGTTAAAAAATCCACTTTCAGATATTAGAAGATTTCGAGCCATTAAGTTGATCTGCAGAGTGTAGCGAGTGTGAGGTACGAGGAGCTGAGGTAAAGAGGGAACTCTGTAAGCAACATTATTTCATTCAAACCATGTGAGCCATGTTGATTACACTGTACATGTATCAGTGTTAAACAAAACTGGAAGAAGATACAAAAATCAGCAGATTAAAAAAGTGTATATATATATTAGTGCTGTCAAAATTATCGCGTTCACGGCGGTAATTAATTTTTTGAATTAATTGCGTTAAAATATTTAACGCATTTAACGCGTGCAGAATTGCCCGCCCCATACGTGCCACCAGTGGCAGCGCCAGGGTATGAATGGGGTAGGCTACACCCATACCAAGAAATGGCTTAGCCCCACCATGAAAAATGATGTTAAAGTAAGCAAAATAAAGTCTGCCAACTCGCGCGGAGTAAATTGCACAGACAGCAGTTAGTAAGATTGATTTCAGTAGCCACAGTTTTGAAAACTTTTGTCACGTAGTGATCGTCTTCTCAATAGAACATCTTTGATAACGGCGTGGTGTTGTTGCAGGAAGTCCCGACGGAGAATAATTTTGCTGTAGTACAGGGGTGCACATAACTGGTACGCAGGTTATGTGCGTAATCTGAAATGCGTACCGTCACTTGTGTCACAAAGCGCATTTGCGTACCGACGTACTTGTGAAGCTTTTCCAGAAGGTGGTTAGATCACCGGACGACATAGTCGGTCTCCGTGTGCACAGACAGGCTGATGTTAACGTCGGTCTGTACAACGGAATTGTGCCAAAACTACGCCAACCGGCTGCGGAGGGAGACTCCCCCCCCTTCACTGGAGAACTGCGCTAAAACAGCTGATCACAACGTTCACACTCTGTGGTCACGAAGTACTCCACTAGCCGCCGCCGCCCCCCCCCTCTGTCGACTTTCCTGAAGTACTCCCCCGTTGATAGAAATCAACACGTAATGAATTAAGACCCCACGGTTTGATGATTGATAGGTGTGTGGGTTGTCTTTCATTTTGACATGCAGAACAATGTTATAATAAACATAGATACTGTATGTTAAATGGATATATCCGCCTTCTTTCATTTATCTTTCCATTCCCACAACAATATACATAAATAAATGGCATATTTTGGACATAGTTCGAATGGTGATTAATCATGATTAATTAATTTTTAAGCTGTGATTAATCTGATTAAAAATGTGAATCGTTTGACAGCCCTAATATATATATATGTATTTTTTTTAAAAACTAAAGTAATTTCAGTATTCTCACTTACCTTGTAGAGTGGATGCACCATGGGCACGTTGAGCAGCAGTGACACAGCATAAACCTCAGCCAGCAGATGAGTGCGCAGCAGGTGAACATTTAGTTGATGCTCGCTGGAATCTGCACTTCTCACAAACATCTTGGCCATCAGCCAGTCGTACTCAGAGTCAGTAGGAAGGAAGATGGGGTTGTCCTCTGCTGGAGTCTGCTTCAGCTGTACGGGGAGAAATAGGGATGAAGTTCTTTCAATCGATTTGATCCAGTGACAGTTTTGGTCAATAATGCTTAACAATTTGCTTATTTACCATAGGTTTTATACACACAGTCAACTTCAGAACAGTGGCCGTACTTTCTTCAGCCTTACACCAATAGTTGAATGTGTAATTTATCATGTTTTCGACAAAGAAAATTGGAAGCAGGCAACAAATTATTGCAAAAAAGTCCTTTAAGATAGTTTTTTCTGTGATTTACAACTTTCCTCTATGTTTGCACACAGCGGTGTAATTTTACTTAAATGTCACCTATTATGCTATATTTGAACAATATATATTATATGGCAATATCTATACAAAACATGTATATGAAGTTTTTTGCTCAAAATACCAAACAGATCATCCATTGTAGCCATTTCTCATACCCCTCTATTTCAGCCATGTTACATAATTGATGATTCTGTGTCCAGCCCTTTAAATGTAAACAAGCTGCTGCTGGCCACGCCCCTTTGGAGCTGCTGGCCACACCCCTTTGGTGCTGTTGTCACGCCCCTTTGGAGCGTCCGTCCGCATGCAAGCAGTGAGCTCTGTGAAGAGAAGTCCGTCTACCAGCAGAAACTCAGCTAAACGCTGCCGTGATTAAACGTCACGTTCCAAATCAAGCAATATTTCTGAAACACTATGGAGCTGAAACACTCTCTCTTAAGGCCCTGACACACCAAACTGACCGTCTTCTGCGTCTTGGCCAAAAAGTCGCACTGGAACACACCGCAAAGACTTCAGCCGACGGCCAAGTAGCACGTACGAACTGCGCATGCGTGAGTGGCAATAACTCTCCTTACCAGCAGGCGGCGGTAGTGTGTATTCGTCATACAAAAGAGGCAACAACCTGAAGACAGACTGCGTGATAACCGAGAGAAGAAGAACAGACTGCGTGATATATACAAACAACAAATAGCGTGTGCGTTCCAGTTTCACTCTCGTCTCACACTCTTAATCATTTGTTTGCGTACCTCACTTCCGTTTCTCTTCTCATGCACTGATTCGCTAAGCTGAACAGCTAATCAGAGTGATTTATTTTGCAGACAGCCTCCGCTCCCGATTGAACATGTTGAATCGGGAGCGGAGGCTGTCGGCACAGCCGAAAAGACACGACGGTGTGGGACACACCAATCTGAGTAGCGCAACAGGACACACATCGACGGCCAGACATCTATCGATGGCCGTAATCGGCTTGGTGTGTCAGGGCCTTTAGGTTTACCACAAGGACAGTCCCTTTTATATCCGGCTTATTTAAACTTACTCTCTCCAGTACAGCGTTAGCTCTGAGTGTTAGCGATGTTTGCTAACGTAATGAAAGACCATATTACTTCCAAAACACAATGCACAATGTGTTTTGGAAGTAAGGTCCTGGCTAGCATTCTTTCTTTTTATTTATGCGTATTTTACTAATCACTCTCCTATTAAACTGTACTTTTAGTTTTTTACTGTCCTATAGTAGCTACACATTGGAATGATTTCTTACCTTATTTTGTACAATTATTTGAAATATATAAATGTGTGCCTTGAAAATATTTGTTTACATAGATGACTAAACCCTTTGAGACCCACTGAGATAACTTAGACTAAAGTTAACTATCTGAACAATCCTTTACCTCACTGAGCTACAAGGTGACACATATTTATGTATAAAAGACATAAAAAGTGCATTTTGCCTCATAGGTGACCGTTAAGCTATATAGCTTACTTCTCTGTACATATGACATCTATTGCATTGAATGTTAGTCCGTCCTTACATCTTAGATGTTAGCTTTATTTGAGCGTGTATCTTACCTGAATAGCAATCGGCATCAGCTTATCAGGTGTTTTCTGGAGCAGGACAAGGGGAGCCATCAGGTACTGCTGCTTCCCATGGACAATGTTTGCTTTCAGTCCATCAAAACGTTTGTAGTCTAACAGGAATATGTTGCCATTCTGTTTTGAGTGAAGATGAGATGTATGTACAGAGTGAAGAACTTCCAACACTACCAAATTTAAAACAAACATGGCTCTAAACTCAATTATGGTCAAAAGAATCACCTTCATTTCATCTGCCAAACTACTCTGACCATCAGGGAAGAGCATCTCATCAGTGACAGGAAAGTTTTCGGGCAGAGCTGTACAACGTCGGATCAAAATGGGGTTGATACCATTTAGGTACTGGTAGCCAAAAAAGGCATCCTCCTTCCAATGTTCCTCTACATATTCTGAAAAAAACAAATACATTTGAAGTTGATTGTTTTTCAGACTTTGGGCTAGAAACTGGGATATTGCGTGTTCAACTGTATATAAAGTTAGGGTTAGGGTTAAACAACAATTAAACATTTTGTGTTGTTTTAAAGTGAGTTATCAGTCTTACTGGTATGTATTTAAATACTGAATAAATAGTTTTCTTATAAGTAAAGATAAAACTCGTTTTTTTAGATTTAGTATTCAGTAGAATCGTATTATATATATATATATATATATATATAAAGGTATATCATTGTACTTGATATCTTAGTGTCCTTGTTGCTGAACACACGATTGACATCATTAATATCAGTCCAGTTGTCCTTGGAGTCAGCGATTCCCTTTAATTTCAACTCAGTCAGCCTAGAAAAAAAGCAACAAGTGACTTTATTATAATGCCCTAAAATGATTTGAGGCAAGTACATATTTTGTAGATTGTTGGATAACAGGACTTGAAGAACTCACGCAGCTTTTCCTGTGAAATCAAACAGTTTGGTCTTGGTGCAGGAGAAGCGGACCTCAGAAGGCAGAGAATCAACATCTTTTGCCTTCATGATGCTGGGTATTCCCTCTTTATACACATCCCAGCTGGGAGTAATAGAGAAGAGAGGTGAGGAGATGAGGACATTCTAGATACTAGTGTATCAGTTTTAGCTTGGAGTATGCAAACACATGACAAGTATTCAATATAGCAACATATTTAGGTCTACTGTATTACATTGTATAAAGCTTGGCAAGTGTCATATATTTGTAATATGTTTGGATGGATTTCAGTTTCGGGATGCATGAAGTTAAAATGTGCATAAGCTCAGAGCGCTCACCAATAGTCTTTCTCTCGCTGATTCAGCTCCTGCTCCCGACTGTCCCTGCCAATAGGAGTGCTGTCGTCAAAGGCTCTCAGAGCTTAAAGAAAGACAGGTTTAAAAAAAGTGATATTCACAGTTGGCATGGATTTACCCTGACTTCCTTATACAGTAGTCCAGCTTGCAGAACTTGTATTCTGTGGTCTGACATTTTTTTACAGGATGTCAGAAAAGCTAATTTCCAAATACCTGTTCCTTCTCTGAAGCTTTGCTCAACGCTGTCTGTGATCCAGCGGTAGATGGGAAAGTTGTACGTTTTGCCATCAGGAGATTCCACTTCAACCTTGGCAGGGAACCAATCGACTTCAGCGAACACTATGGGTTTCTTTTTGACGAGCTTTATCTGAATCAGCTTTCCAATAGAGACAGGCCAGGCCACCTGTAGAGAAGACAGACATTATTTGAAAGCAATTATACATTACATAATTTACATTACATTTAGGTAAATTACTATTCAATCTATTAATTTAATCTCTGAGTTACAATAGTTGTATTCAATCATGTGGTTACAAACACAAAATTGCAAGAGTCAAGCAATAAGTTAACCTAATCAAAGTACAAGATAATAATGTTTTGTGCTAGCTAAGTTCACTCAAGCTTAACCTACTGTAATTGTTATGTTATATCCCTATATCATTTAAAAAGTTGAGTAAGAGTGTTATATTTTTAGAGAGATATTTCTGACTTACTTGTGTACTGGTGAAAGAAATTGGCGCGTTGAGTTTATTGGGTTCACTTTCCCCATCTATGCCCACCAGCTTAATGAAGACGTCATTTGTAGTTACGGCATTGATAGGTGAACCATTGAATACAGTCACTTTATAATTCACCATTTTCCCTCTGGAAAAGAAGAAGAATCCTGTTGATGAGAGAATTATAATAATCATTCCCAGCAATGGTTGCGTTATCTATAAAAAGATTAACCTGAGTTATTTTGTTATCAGAAGGAGAAAGGCAGTGGCACATTTTATTAAAACAACAAATATGAAATGTGTGTCTTACATTACAGAAGCATTGTTCTTACCTGTTCTTGAGACCTGAGTTCCTTTGACGAACTGACCGTTGGATTTTTTCACCACTGTTCCTCCTCTTTTAATACATCCACATATGTGGGTGTGTCCATTAAGTTACATAATAAAACATTATTTCTCATGACTGGTTCACCCACATAACCAGCTTCTCCAGAATTAAAGAGCATTAGGTCAACTACACATACTAGAAATGAACAAATAAATAATTAGTTTTTCCATATTTATATGATAGTTTTATTACAAACAAATGTAATATTAAAGTAGCACATTTGTACAGAAAACTCAATGGCAGCGAAAAAGGTACCAATTACAAGATTGTATTGTTTCCAACAGAAACAGAATGCATTAGATACACGTATAAAATATGTGGTGGTTGTAACAGTTTTTGTTGACATTTTCAAAAATGTATTTAAATGATTATATCCATACTGTATTACTGAGGTTATAGTTAAGGGTGGTGTTTTAAAGTGCACCTATCATGCTATTTGTAGGCATATATTATGGGTCTCAGATATATAAAAATATTAGCGCGTTAATAACGCGTTAACGCCACTAATTATTTTAACGTTCGATTAACGCATGTGTATTTGTTCTCGGCCCGCCCCGTAGTTTCAGAGCCCAAAGGCTTTGATTGATTGATTGATTGATTGAAAAGTTTATTAACAGCTTGTATATTGGGTACAGTACAGTACAGCTCAAAACATACAATTGTTAAGGGGATGCAGACCAGAGAAAGACTTTCGTCTTGTTTACATCAGGGTCCCCCATTTCCAATTCATCATGTCATTTAAGACATATAAGACATATTTGACATACAGATGGCTTATTTACAATTTACATACAGGTGGGTTTTTTTTACATACAGATTGCTTGTTTACAATTTTCATTTTAGATTTCGTTCTAATACATCCTAACCGGACATTTAAGACATACCAGGTCTACAGATATACAGTTAGTAACAGAGTCTAAAATGCGAGTATATACATAGATGGGGGGGGGGGGAAGCTGTCCATTGAACGACAGGTTGAGATTTGTACCATTACCGGGGCCAGTTTTGCAATGCTTTCCCCCGAAGGTGCTCTTTAAGAGAGGTTTTGAAGGTAAGTATAGTTTTACTTTCCTTTACAGTTGTGGGAAGAGCGTTCCACCTTGATGTGGCATAATTGCGAAATGTGTATTCCCCCTTTTTTGTGCCAAATCTGGGTTTCACATGATTTGTGGAGCTCCCTCTGGTGTTATGATCATGGTATTCCTTGACCTTTGGGAAGAATTTTGACATGTACATGGGTACCATAGAGGTGTAGTGGATCTTGTAGACCAGGCCCATTGCAAGTAGCTGTACTCTGTCGTCTACTCTAAGCCATCCTAGGTTGTCAAAGTGGGCAGAGGTGAGGTGGGTTCTAGATGAAAGGTCAAGCAGTAGTCTGACCAGTTTATTTTGCGATGTTTGAAGTTGTATTTTTAGCGCCTTGGAGGTGCTATGGTACCATGATGTGCAAGCATAGTCATAGTACCCTTGAATGAGTGCTCCTGCCAGAGTTTTCAGGGTGTTTTTGTTTACCAGAGAGGAGATCCGGTATAGGAATCTAGTTCTTTAATTGACTTTTTTTATTACATTGGATGCCATTTTGTCACAGGAGAGGTTTGCCTCTAATAGATCCTAGGTATGTAATTTCCTTCTTACAGTACTTGTGACAATAATGTCGCCCACTGCAACTGAGAAGTCGTCAGATTTGCTGAGATTATGTTTCGAACCGAAGAGAATGGACTCTGTTTTACCCAGGTGTAATGATAATTTATTATCGGCGAGCCAGGTGCAGATTCTGCCGAGCTCGGAGCTGAGGGTTTTTTCAACCTGCAACCTGTTCCTGTCAGAGACCAGCAGGGCTGAGTCGTCCGCGAACAGGAACAAGTTGCAGTCACATGCTGATGACATGTCATTTACATAAATTAGGAACAGTAATGGACCTAATATGCTTCCTTGTGGAACACCACAGCTCACTGGGAGGGGGGGGGGACAGAGTACCGTTTACCTCCACCATCTGTTCTCTCCCCTCCAGGTAGGATTGCATCCAGCTCACCGATAGTTTATCAAAACCAATTGCTTTTAGCTGCTTTTAGCTTGTCAATCAGAATGGGGTGATTGACAGTGTCGAAAGCCTTTTGTAGGTCCAGCATCACCATGCCGCCGTACTTGCCCTCGTCCACCTCTTGTTTGATGTGGTCGCTCAAATAAAGAAGGCATGTGTCAGTGGAGTGGGATATTCTAAAGCCAGATTGAAATTCATAGATTAGTTTCTTTTCCGCTAGGTACTTTTCGACCTGTTCATATACTATTTTTTCCATGACTTTCGAGATGGAGGTAAGTATAGAAACAGGGCGGTAGTTGCCTGGGTCCAATTTGCTGCCCTTTTTGTGCAGGGGGGTTACTCTTGCAATTTTGAAGTCTTTGGGTACTTTTCCCTGTTTTATGGAGATGGCGGTTGCTGTGTCTCTGAGGAATTTGGAGGGGATATTGTCGTGGCCAGTGGCCTTGTTAGGTTGGAGGGCGCTCAGTTTAATGAGTACCTCTGCTGTTGTTACCCTTGCTAGACTGAAATCATCTTTGCGTACCCCTAGGTTTTTGTAGTAGGTCATGATGTGATCTACTCCAAAAAGCCCTGAGTGGGAGGGTAATTTATTTACAAGAGTTGTGGCTATGTTTGTGAAAAAAATGTTCAAGTACTTGGCCACATCCAGTTTGTCTGTGATGAGCCTGTTATCTGTCTTTATGTTTAAGTTAGAAAATCTCGTTTTGAGTTTTTTACTGCAGCCAAGCTGGTTATTGAGTAATTTCCAAAGTTCACAGGGTTTATTTTTGTTTTCCTCAGTTTTGACATTGATGAAATTCTTTTTGGCAGTTTTGATCATGGAGCTTACGTCATTTCTTAGTCTGTTTCTTTCAATTTTGAGTTCAGTCACGTGGGCCTGGAGTTCACTGCTCGTGCTTTTGGAAAGCATTGACTGACTTTTATGAAACTCAGAGCATTTTTTGTCTCTGGTTTTCATGGCGGTCAGTATGCCGGAGTGCATCCATGGCTCAGCGCGATTTTTTACCCTGGTTGTTCTTAGGGGGGCCAAATCATTGAGTATTGCAGAGAATTTGTTTTTGAAACCAAGCCATGTTTCTTCAACTTGTGTACCACTGAGCTCATCTGACCAGTCCAGGCTCTCCAGTTCTAGGTTAAAGGCCTCGCTAGAGTAGTTTTTGAGGTCTCTAGATATGACTGTTTTGTGACAGCCGGCCCTTTGTTTTATCTTTTTGCGGGTACAGAATATCATATAATGATCACTTAACCCGCATGCTATAACCCCTTTACTGGAGATCCTGGACTTGTCAGAGGTCAGAATGAGATCAATGGTAGTTTGTGTTGTTTCACATACCCGGGTGGGTTGGGTGATTAGCTGGCTGAAGCCGTGCAGAGGGGTGGTTGGGGTGGTGGTGGTGGGGGGAGGGAGGCTCCGTTGTAGCTTTAGCCGTTGATATGCTAGCAGGGTGGCTAACAACATGGCGGATATTTGTTCCCTCGGATCTCGGTTCTCTTCCTCTCGTCACTGCCTCATGCGTGTCTGTCTGCCGAGGCGTCCCCGGGGGAATCTCGAAGTCTCCGTTTATTCCTTGGTCTCCGCTGTCTCCACGGTCTCTGTTGTCGTCGCGTAGTTGTTGTTGCAGCGGAAGAGATGCTAGTTCTGATGCTAATTGAGATGCTAGCTGCTCGAGCCTGCAGGACTGGCTTCTTGTCTGCACCGGGCCCGGATTCAGATGGATGTCTCCCGCTAACAATAAGACCAAGACGATCATACTTCTTCGGTCTAGTTTGCCTGACGGGGGTAAGTACTTTCGCGTCGGGTTTGCAGTTAATAATGCATGAATGCTCGCACTTCCAAAAGCGAGGTGTTTCCTTTCCCAGCCGTTGAGAAGAAGCTTGACGTTGTTGTTGTTGCTGTTAGTTGGATGGTGGGAGATTCTAGCGAGAGATATGGATACAAAAAAGGTGTTTTAAACAGCAAGCACACAGCTGATGCTAACAGCCCCGCTCCTGCCGCTCGCTTGCGGCAGACCATGCTTGAAAGTTTGCCGGGGAGACGCCTGGACAACAACAGCGATAGCTAAATGGGTGGCTACAGCTTAACATTGTGGAGGACGAGGGGCTGCGTTAGATAATTCGGATCACATCCAACGTTTCGACTGCACATCACAGTGCATTATTTTGACCCACAGTGGGAACTTCAGCCTCATGCTTTGACTGAAGATGAAGACAGAGGAGCAGCATTTCGCCGACAACTGTAAACAGGCTTGTCTGTTTGAACAACTGGCTCAGTGCAAAGAAGTAGACAGGGTTGGGAGAGAGTGAAGAGAGAGAGAGGTTCCAGGTTGTGTTGAAAATATTCAGGAGAATATTTGTCATTGTTCCAATGATAATAAACAAACATTTGCATAAAGCATATTTGTCCATTCATATGTTGATAAGAGTATTAACAACTTGAAAAATATTCCTCTAAGCTACATTTAGAACAGATACAAAATGTGCGATTAATTGCGATTAACTATGGACATCATGCGATTAATCACGATTAAATATTTGAATCGACTGACAGCCCTAAAAAATTTATAAAAACATGTCTATGATGTGTTTTGCTCAAAATACAAACAGATCATGTATTTTAGACATCCCAGTCATATCCCTCTATTCCAGCCCGGTTAGAGTAAAGCGGATTTTGGGTCCTTAGCTTGAAAAAAAAGAAAAAAGAAGGCGGAGTTAATTCCTGATAAAAATTCTACCGGAGATAAAGTTAAATTGTGCTGTGATAAAACACCATCCTGTTCTAAACCACAT